GAAGGTCGTTGCCAAGGTGCAAGAGAAAGCTCTCGTCCATGCAGAGAAGAAGCGGCGATTGCGGAAGCGACCGGCGCTGATCGGTTGTACTCCATCGATAGCGAGCGCGTGGTGCTGTAGCACATGTGGTCGCGAATGCCTGAGTTAGGCAGGCCTACTGAGTCATGAGCGAGTCCACTCGGGGCCACCACTTAAGCGACGACGGGTCCTGCAGAAAACATAGGCAGAACCGGCGCAGCGTTTATAGGTACGCTGCATTCGATTTACTAACCGTCTGCTTGCATGCTGAGTCTCTTTATTTCAGGTGGTGGGTTTGCTATATCCTAATGCTTATTTATCTCATATTCTTGTCTACTTGTACTATCTATAAACTTCCACACGTCGCTAAAGCTAACTGTAGTTAACTCCGATAACATTTTCGCGTTTGTGGCATTGCATTAAAGGATATTTACTGACGCCTTGAACCTTTGCAGTTTATTTTGCAAACGATTTATTTCATACGCTCATTTAGTGAAGAGTTATGTCACCGTATCTACATACATTATTCCATTTGTTTTATTTCATCTTGTCGTTCCAAGTGATTGGCTGTTCTTTGCTGTCCCCGGTGTGGCTGCGTTTGATGTGCATGTTGACAAGGTATCTACCTGTCTATTACCCACTACCTCGTCCATACTGGCTCCAGGAGACAGTTGGTCTTTGCTGGAGGCGACAGGGTGCACAGTCTTTGTGGCCGTGCTTGGCTCAAAGTGTGGTTCCATGCACTCAGTGTGCGGCGGACTACGGTCCAGCCACCGTCTTGTGTGCACTTGATTCCCCAATTACAACATACCTGTGTTTGCCTGTGAGGGAGTGTGGGCCGGCTCCGTTGATGAAACGTGACTCCCATCCACATGCCTCCCGGTCTTATTCCTTCGGGTTTACACTGGATATGGGGTATGTGGTTGGAGCTGTGGGTGGTGCAACGCAAGCCATTTATGGTCCCTCTGTAGATGCAGGCGTCCTGTGGTTGTCCACAGTGACAGGGAAATCCGAAACCAGATACCACCAACTATATATATATATATATATATATATATATATATATATATATATATATATATATATATATGTTGTAAACCAATCCTCAGTCCCTTAAAACAGTCGACATTTAGTGTGTGTCCCGTGTTGGCCCTACCCATGGACTGTAGGTTGCGGCTTGTAGGTACAAAGCATATGTCGTGATATGCTGCGCTTTACATTAGTTTGTTCGAATCACCTGTATATTTCTTCGGTTTAACTGCATGTAGTTTCTCGGTGGAATGGTGAAGCAACGCAATATCGTTTATGTTGTATTCCTTCACGAAATCCGCGCAACATTTATGCAGCCTATTTGTGATACATTCAATGAGATGCTTCCGCTGGACCAATATATGGGCCGGTGGCCGTTTCGAGGCAGCGAAGGTGCGGACAACCGCATAATATCGCTAGGTTACACAAGACCGGTGTTTGTCACGTGTCAGCAAGTGTCGGTGCAACACACCGGCGTACTGCTGTTGCCTGGACCCACACGTGACTCCAGGATTCATAACACTAGATGAGGCACGGACACTCCTGTACAGCAGACCACACTGCTGTTGGATATTGTCTACAGTATCAAAGCGATCTTCAGATCCAGAAAGAAGACAAACGAAGTAAGTGGAACACGCGTTTCCTGTTTCGTGTTGGGCCAGCAGAAAGCGAGTAACTTTGTATCACTTGGACTCTTACTTCTGTCACAAATGTGATATTGTGTCATCTTTCACATGTCCATTCATAAATCCGGTGTTAGTCATGTTTCCATGTGCCTCCACTAAAGTAGGTGCGTTTTGAGCCGGTGCACAACTCCACCGAATGTGATAGCATCCTCACCTTGCTTTTTAAAGTGACTTTTCATTGTTCGGTCCAATTACCACACTGGTGATTCAGATTAAATGGCTTCTTAACCCTCGCATTTCTCCACTTTGTGGCAAACATAAATATTTGCCTGTTTGATTCATTTCACATAACACCATTTGACTTTTGTACACTTCATTTCATCTTAACTTGACTGGTGATTTTCTAATGCAGCATGTCGGCACATTTGTTTTTCGCTAGATGCTTGTGCTTTGTCTTCTATTCGACCTTCCTTTTGTATGGTTTGTGCGCAGCCATAGATAACCTTGGCGTCATGTGGGTCTCTTGACGAGTCAGAGGTATGGTCGAAATCGCTGACAAAGCCTAGGCATGTTTATGCATTTGACACCCATCACTACAAGGGCGCTTGTACTTTAGCGCAGGTTTTATCTTTGACGTAACTGGAATCCGCTCCACTATTTGTCCATCTCTCAGCTCTTCTCTAGGCTTATCCTGATCATAAAGCGAGATCGCTTTTGTTAATTTGTACTGCTCTCACCGTTGTGCTTGCTTCGCGCAGACTGCTCGCTCTTTTCATCTGCATCCCACCTCTTGCATGTTTGATTTAGGGGTGTCATTTTCTTTTGGCTCTAATCTAACAGATTTGACACGGAAGTATCGTCTTTTGTCACACCGAATAATGCCCTCATATTTCGGCATTTCTCTTTATTCGTCATTAGGTATCCTATAATAGTCAACTTAGAATGAAACTTTTTAATTCGTTGGCAGCAGCATACAGTAACATGTTGCGCTCACTGTCTCTTGGCATTATGACTTAAACCAGCCAGCCAACTTAGTCACTCTGTGTCGGTGCCTATTAATCTGACAACAAACAAACAGTACTTGGTATCTGCAGATTCGTTAACTGACGCCGTGTCAAAGAGACGTGGTTCGTCAGATGGGATACACACGCCAAAAAGTGGATCGGTGTGCCCGTTTTTTTTTGATTATACGCTGCTAGTGATGCGTCAGCTCAAATCACTAGGGCACTACTAGTGTCTACTGCGCTGCAGGAATCACGCAGTGAAAGCCATCAAGGGTCTACCTCATTATTTTATGAGCACGGACCGGTCCTAGCTGCCGATGACTTCCCTATTCCTTCTTTACGATCTCGTTCCCACGCCTCTCTGTCTGTCGTTTCTCGGCATCCCCGATTCTGCAACATCCCTACCCATTCTTTGAGGGTATTTCAATAGTCATTCTGCAACGCATTGGCCCTAGCTTGTTTAAACTATTGCGCAGGGTGGGCATTATTATCACATCCTCTCAGTATTCAAAGCTCTATGCAACCCAAGTCTAGGGTGGATATTTTGGAGCAATCGTCATTTTGTTCTGACTATGGGCTGTTTTACTTTCAGTCGTCTACTTTTATGCGTCCTGTGGTAAAATCAACCCATTCCTTGTCTATTCTAACCGTAACCCCTTACTCGCGTGCTCTTTTTGCTTTTGCTGCTTTGTCTGCAAAGTGTAGTGGGGATCCAGCTGCCTTCCTTTCTCTGCATTCACTGCAGACAGACAACAATGGAGGAAGTTAGGGAAACACGTAATATATGCATACAAATATTGAAAGTTACTGTGTTTATAAACCCCGTTTTAATAAATATCTAACAAGCCATCACAATTGTGAGTCACAACATTGCGAACTCAGTCGTTTTCATTAAAAACATCATAAATCGTCATAAATCAGTTATGAATGTGAGGAAGGAGAACATCTTCTCCTCGTTTCTTTCCCAGTGAGGCATTTTTCTAAGCCTGTTGAACAGGTGGCAATCAACTTCAATGGACCAAACATACTCTACAATCAAAGTTCATGTCCCTGTTGAAGCCACCACATCGTATACGTTAATTTATATTTCAGTTGGGATCGTTTGTCCTCCGTCGTTTCCACTACAACTGTGGTACCATGTCCCTATGGCACAGTAATACCTCTGTTGAACCTGATGATGGAGCAATACCACAGCACAGCACCGTGAAGAGCGTTTACAACTAGGTACTCACAGCCTACCGTTAGTCACTTTCAGTCACCCTTCTGCATGAAAAACTATGCCAACGGAAGTTGCTCCTGCAAACCCTTCTCTTACCGTGACTTCAGCTTGACCGTGTTCATCGACCTACAGTGACTTCTTGCATCTCGTTAGCAATGTTGTGGGATTTCGCGTGTTTCCTGCGATCTGTGTATAAGAATGTTGCATGAAGCAGTACGCTCCAAGTGAGGTAAATATGAGCCCGATAGCACAGGCCTTACTCAGCAAGCAACAAAGGCATATTCGCGGAAATAAACTGCCGAAAGGTTAGAATAGATGATCACTTAGTGAGAGTTTTAAATATCACTGCTTTATGGATTTTGATGCCCTAGTAATAGTAGTTGTTGTTGTTGTGTTACAGCCCGAAAATGCGGTTATATAGCAACAAGGCTGGTGTATCACGGCTGCTATTTTGGAGACGATTACGTTTGAATGAATCCCACTGACCTATTCTGCTTCGAACGAGCTGCCTAAGTCCTTCTAAATTGGCTTTAGTTGATTTTGATTTGCTGTTGTGTAGGATCAATATATTGTTTCCTGTAGGTCTATGAAATTTCTTCATATTCGATGTTCCGCATAATACGGTAAATCGCTGCAGGAATGACACAACCCCTTATGACAATCGCATGAAAGGGGTGACGATCGGAAGCGGGTGACCAAATGCAAGAGCACCCCTGACCTCATGATTATCATATTGGTTTGAGGTTTCGTTTACTAACGCTGTCATCCCCTTAGACCTATTTTCAGTACCCACTCAACGCATCGATGCTACCAGGTAAGATTTCTAGTGGGAAGCTGCGAATGCGCTGATTTTTCATACTATTTTGTAAGTGGAACGCTAATAGGAGGAGATACTGCGCCACCCTAAGCTCCGTTGGCTCAAGAACACACTGACTAGTCAACTGGGTTCCATTCAGTTTTGTTAATTGATTACCATCACGTTGACAATTACTTTAATCTCTTTCTCTATACGCGGCATTGCTGCTCTGTGCATTTTCTTTCTCCGCTATTCTTCCGAATTGTATAGCTTAAACCACTTTTAAACTGGTCTGTTTTCTCTTTCAGCACCTCCGCCATGTCTCTTTTATACGAATGCATCAATACCATCATCGCAGGTATGCTACAAAGCAGCGGGGCTTCGGTATTGCCATCAATCTCTGTCGGAAACGTTATTTTTCCGTTCATACTCTTACTCCATTCTGATGTTCGTTAATAATCGATCTACGTGTGCTCTTTGATGACTTCTTGGTAGATGAAATAGGATCTTCACCATGCTACACGATCTCACTTTTACGCCGATCTGAATCGTGAACGTTGTACCTTTTGGTAGGCTCTGACCACACCGTCACTGAATGCCGGCGTTCTCATTTTGTTTCAGGAAATCGGTGTCTTACGTTTCGGGTTCTACTCATCCCCCGTTGATATTTGAGTGTGCTTTTTGATGAGATGTGCGACGTTGCATCATGGTCACTGTCACTGTATAATCAATAGACATGGTCGTTATACGCTGAAGACACTGAGACCTGTCGTGCTTCAAAGATAGTGTCGGCTCCGCGAGCGTAATTGTTAAGTCCCTAGATGCTGAATGTCGAGGCACTGATCTATGTCTGACAGTAGCCTGTCTCGTGCCGCACTGGCTTCTGTTAAACCTGGACCGCCTACAATGCTTTAGTTTTATTCTTCTTATGTCGCCTGTCGTACCCGGTAATCCCTAAGTGTAGCGACACTTTTAAGTTAGGACCAGTGGTACTGATAACAAGCCAACAGATGCCTATGGGAATTGATCTTTTTCTGGAAATTAATAATAGTATGTGTAGCTTGGTGTGTGGATGAGAGGGTTGATGTGTTCTCCCAGCTGTTGTTGCATTTTATTGCAACGAAATTGCCCAGCTCGGAGAACAAATCATTATTGTTAATGGTACTGAGGAGACAATATGAAATGCATGCATCTACCAGTTTTCGTCTTCTTACCGTGCTTTACAAACAACTCAGCTGTCTCATCTCCTTCTCTTGTCCTTGATAAACAATTATCTACATGAGACGCAGCGTCCATATTTCAATCATGTGAAAACCGTCAATTAGCTTCCTTCATGCTCACTCGTTTGTCATTTGCACTGAATACAGCCCTGACATTCTTATGCACGGGATTGACTGCTCGTGCTTCCCTTAGCTTTTCTATGTGGTGCTAAGCTTTTCGTTACTAACAAGCATTGGCTTGTTGTGAGTGAACTGTCTTCCATTGTTTGTCCACTCAGTCATATGCATTCTCACCGGTGACCAACGGGGTGCGCTCCTTTCCGAACCTGTTTGTTTTCAGCAGAGCATTGACGCTTTATTATTCCTTTGTGCTATCGACTGGAGAAATCAGATCCACGCTAGCTGTCGGATGAAAGCACGGAACATTGATCTGGGGGAGCAGTGACTAGGAAGTATGGGGCCTATTTGCTTTATGAGCAATAATTTCCATCACGGATCTAACTTTGTTCGACAAGACGTAGCCTGATTTAAATTTCTTAGCTCCTGTTCCGTGTGGTGAATCGGGTCCATGCTTTATGATTGTTTCATCTTGCGGATAGGATCATCCTACCCGCACCATTAACTCGCGGTTTTCTACATCTGCACACCTCACTCATAATCATCATATAACTCAGTATAGCATTTGTTACCGCTACAAAATCCTGTACCTTCCTCTGTGTGGTATCAACCCTGCTACCCATTTCAGTCTACTTTTTCCGATTTGGAATACCAGTATTTGCAAACCGTGTTACTTGCGATTCACACATCACTCTCCGTTGCCCTTCTTTTTAATGTTGTGTATACGCTCTTCGCGCTTGCACGAATAGTGCTCATTTCAATTTCTTCTGGGGTCCCCGACCACCATGCGGCCATCCAGGTGAGTTCGCTCACACTCTTGGCATTGTGCTCTCTAACACCCCCTATTGTCATCCACTTTCCATAAAGGTCTGCATTTATGCGCTGCAGCGGCCCGTCATTTTGCGCCCACAAACACCTTTACCGCGTCCGTTAACCACTTCGTTCATACACCTCATTGTTAGTGCGTACGGTGTGTCATTGTCCCAACGCTGTGTGCTTTGTATACACACGCTAAATTCTATACACTCATTTTGACTTCCGGCATGAATCTCATTTGACTTCGTAACCTTAGAGAGAAGGCGAACAGGGTACTGAATATAAGGCCGTCCTTATCTTACTACGCTATCTTATGGGAATAAAAGCCTTAAGTGAGGCAAACGAGCAAAGTTATCGCATCTACCGTTGAATTTCATACTGCGTCACGTGTGTTTACATCTAGTCAGTAAATGCTCAGAGGCGTTTATCGAGCCGAACTCTCTGACACGCCCTGCTCTCAACACATCGATCGGCGCACCTGATACGCATCTGACAACTGTGCGCTGAGGTGACGTGGACCCAGTAGCTTTGGGACGAGTCACTGAAATATCCACAGTAATAGCAAGGAATGGTAAGCAGTCATCAGTGGGGTAGATAAGAAGAACGAATACACGAACGTCACCGATTGTACTACATCCGATGGTCTGTCCAACCACTGATATGACCAGTCCCGCTCGTGAGAATGACCCGAATTAAACTTTCGGTTTGTTTCCTCATGCTTTTTTCCCTCCGTATCACTGACTGATCCTCTCATGGTCCCACCCTATGTCGGCGAGGTAATGGTACATACCGACGCAGCCAACTTACGAGTATGCGAAAGCAATTCGTGATCAACCGGAGCTCTACTGAAGGGCACCAGCTGTCTGTCGCAACACCCTAAATGACGAATTTAGTTGCCACTCGTTCAACAGTTTCACCAGGTATAGACAATACCTCGCAGACATAAGCGATTAAACACAGTCTGTCTCTTAGTGACTTTCACGTGCACTGGCCTGGCCTCTCATAATTTTATTGCAACTATTCGCAGTAGCATCGTCAACTCTTTTCTTAACCAGTAAGCTTGGACTCCGTCACATAGCTAAAGCGTTAAAAATTACCTTGATCTTGGTGAAGCGAGTAGTAATCTCTTCAGTAATGAACACCACCGAAAATGGCATTTCTGCGTAGGTTAGCATGCCAATTCACAATTTTGAGCAGTTGTTCGCTGATAGTAAGAATTGTTGACAAGTCGGTTCAGTATTTTGCGCTTTGTAGGTACGCAGAGCTACTGGTCTACCCAATCAGTACCGCTTATCTATTCGCTGGGTCCAACCCGGATATATTGTCCGGGTATTCTAGAGTTCCCAGTCAACACTTGACAAATTTTTCACCGAAAGAACGATAGTGGAGTAGGCGCCATTCACGATCGTTATAACTACATGGTCCGAGATAAACAGGGAGATAGGGCGGCTATGATTCACTCTAATTGTCTCGACGATCTCACGGGTGAGCTCCCGGTACACTCTTACATGGCCTCATAGTATAGAGAGCTTAGAATTAAAGGGAGCATTTTCCGGTACGCCTTCAAAAGGTAGTTGCGGTCGCAGACGAATACAGTGGACAGAAACAAAGACATGTTTTATGTCAACGAAGATTATCATGACATATTAGTTGTGATTCTTGTAATTTTGAAGATTAGCTTCGTGGCGAATACACCTTGTACCGGGGAGGAGGCTAGCCTGGTCGTCATTGGTTCTTTTCTCATGAGGATTAGCCTTTGTTCGCATTATGGTTCAAGCCAGTAGTTTTGGAGCTATAGGAACCAGAATGTTACAAAGATAATCTTCATTGGGCGTCTCTCGTCCCTTTTTAAAATACAAATGATTGCCAAAAACTACGAAGCAAAGCACGTCAGTCCCTTATAGATCGCTACTATTCTTATGCAACGTTTGGTGAAAGGTCGTCTCGGTCAGGCACCCTATTCCACTAAAACAGTACTAACGCCTTTCTGACCTGGGTGATAATGGGACCTGTTACGTAAACGTTCCAGATGGTCCAACCAGCAATTTCGGCACACCAGTTCCACTGAATTGCTCTTCAGAGTGCCTCAGTAAGTCGATGTTATTGATAGCTAATCGGTCATCGGTTCTTCTGGGTTATCGTTCCACTCACTTAGACACTTTTTGGACCAGCGCTTCTAATACACCGAAACAGTATCGTGGCGTTCTCAAAAGTGCTGACCTCAATATAGCAAGCAGGCTCTCGTCATCTATCAAGACCTGTGATCGATTCTTGGCGTTAAAAGACCCACCGTAAAATGGTATCTTGGGTTTCAAGGATTGCCTAACTTCCTTACTAACGTGGTTGCTGAAGTCGGTGGTGGCTTTTTGCTTTAAAACGAGAAGTGATTTCTGGTGGGGATAACAAGCCGAGAAAGTGGAAGATCACTAGCCGCCGTACCTTGTAAACGGTTAGTACCCTTTGGCTACCCATTGAGCAAGTTTTTTCGAGGCTGGTTTTTGCTAGCCTTCACCTGAATAATCTTGTCCACAAAGCAGTGAAGCTGATGTCCTGTTCGGGAGTATTGCTGCAGTACCACGATTTTGAAATTGCTGGCCACTAAGAGTATGATGTGATTCGTAACTGATTGTTTTTCACCGATTGAAGACTATGCACTCATGGCCAGGGCCAACCGTAAGTAAGTTCTGGCTTATTTACACTTTTTGACCAGAGGCTTCTTGGCTTGAGGCGAGTGATAACTGATCAGTGATCAAGGGGCGCACCCTCTCGCCATCAGAATCAAGCGAACAAACTGAGCTTATAACCCGTAGATTAGTGCCTCATGCTTAGGTTTTGAATGATGGGGGCATCTTCCACTCACCAGTCTGATACGGAGTTAGTATAATCGACTATTGGCCCAATTAGGATGAGGGACTATAAAGGCACCTGGAAAGCACCATCTAACCTAGACCACATTACATCTCACTACACGTTAGTTAAAAGCGAGAAACACTTCAGCTATTGGGGCGCAAAGCAAAAAGATGAGACATAAGAAGGCAAGTTACTAAGTATTACAGCACACAAAAACTAAAAAGCGAGTGATGTGATTCTTGGTATCATATCTCTTGGTTGGAGGGTAAACTCGGTGGGTAGGGGAGGGATAAAAAACGCAATATGAACGCCAATGAGGTCGGATCTTCGCCATGTCAACAAACGTATCCAACAACACATGTTCATTGCCCATTGGACTCCAGCTCGGCTGTCTGTTGATACCAACTGACGCCAGGAACTTCATTTCTCTTAACCAAGTCATCGCTTGGCCTCAGATCCTCTTCTTCCATCCACACCTCCAGTGCGCAGATAACGAACGTCGCGCGAGTCGGTGTGCAGGCATCTTCGGAGCCGGGTGCGTAAAATAAGCTGTAAGCTAAGCTGCGAAGGCAGCGATGGTCTAATGTAGAAAGCCTCTTTAAATCGGCGGGTCTATGTGGCTAGGTTTCACAACCGTACAGAAGGATTGAACGGACGGCTGTGTTGTAAACTCTGTTCCTTCAGGGCGAGAGTGATGTCGCGCTGGCGCAACAGTTGGCGGAGATTGGTTACAGGGCCTCGAGCTTTTGCTATACGGTTGTTGATCTTATCTGCTATTCTACAGGTGCTAATATAACTGCTGAGATACCTAAATCTTTTGGTCAACTTCTAATTGATCACCACCAAAGGTCAGCGCAGGGATTGGTCCCTGCCAAGCAATGGATTACGGTGATACGCAAAGCACCTCTCCATGCTGAGATCTCGGCTCTTTGCTGTGCTTGATTATGATCAGTTGGATTTGTTTTTCCAAGTTATGTGATCTAGCACACCGATTATCACACTTGTCTGCAGTTGAGTCTACTCACTATTGCGAAATTCGGAATTCTCCATAGTTACTTCGTCTGTTATTTGACGTTTTTCCCGCTCAAGGCCAACGTTTTCCTCTTCACTATTGGTTTCGTTCTTCCAGAGCCATACAAATTCTTCGATATTGACTCTTTGTTCCTTTTTACAATGCGCTACGAGAGTAGACAGCCGAGCCACAGCCTGTCAAAACGCTTGGATCGTTGGGCCAATCACTTTGCAAGGCAGTTTAACCAATCTGAGTTATCGCTTTCTTTTTTGGGGCATTGCGTGCCCTTCTCCATGGGCCGTCTCCTTAGATACGCCCTCACGCGCAGAAATCGAACGTGAGATCAGATTGTTCTAATTGCATGAGGCCGTAGAGCAGCTAGAATTCCCTCAGTTCTCTTCAAATTCGGGGGGCCTGCCCTTGTAGATGCTTTATACGAGTTGCTAGTGGAACTTTTGGAGCAGGAAACTCTCCCAACAGACTGGAGCCACTCCGTCATTGTCCTAATTTTCAAGGGAGGCTCCAGTTCGGAATGCGGCAATCATCGAGGGGTCAGTCTGATGTCAATCGCCTCTAAATGGCCTGTGTCTGTCATTCTCCACTGACTGACTGACACTCGTGAAAGCCAGATTCGTTAAGAGCAAGCCGGATTTCGTTGTGGTCGGGACTGCATCGACCACATCTTCACTTTGTGCCAATTGTTGGAGCACGGCCATGTTTATTGGCGACCCACCGACGTCAAAGGTGCCTTCGATTCGGTTGATCGATGTCCCCTTTGTGACTGCTAAGGAAAGGGGTGCCCGATAAATAGCTAAACATTTTCAAAAAGCTGTACGCGCATAGTTCGGGCAGAGTGAGGGTTTATGGCAAACTGTCGCCGCCCTTCAATAGCTCCAGCGGTGTGAGACAAGCTTTCCCGCTGTTACCTTTCCTCTTTAACTTCGCCATTAATGAAGTCATGGAAACAGCAATTGCTGGACACGACCTACAAGGTGTAGAGCTACTTCCCGGTGAGCGACTTGTTGACTTGGAGTATGCGGACGATATTTCCCTAATCTGTGACAATTCCCAAGTGTGCCAAGCAGTACTGGACCGATTAGCACTGGCTGTCAATCGTTTTGGGTTATGCTTTGCTCCATCGAAATGCAAAGTTCTTCTCTAAGACTGGAAAGGATCCACGCCAGCGCTGACCCTTGGCAGTGGTCAGCTAGAAGTCATTTAGGGATTCAAGAATATGGGCAGCTATATTAGCGCCCGTTGGATTGAGTATGAGGTCACAAACCGTATAGCAAAAGCCCGAGGTGGTTTTGTCAAGTTCCGCCACCTGTGGCGCCGACGGGACATCACTGTCGCTCTGAAGGGCAGTTTAGAATACAGCCGTCTGTTCAATCCTCTTATACGGTTGTGAAACCTTGACCATTAAGTCGACAGATATAAATAGGCTAATCACATTCGATCATCCTAGCCTTCTCAGCTTAGCTCATGTCTGGTGGGAGCACCGCGTTAGCAATGAGTGTGTTCGGTCTCGAGTATTTGGTGCAGGAAAAGCGAGTGAACCGCTCGGCACCATTATAGCACGCACCAGGCTCCGATGGCTGAGCCACGTGTTGCACATGTCAGCACACCGACTCCCGCGACGTGCATTGTTTGCGCGATTGGAGTGTGGATAAAAAAATGGGATGCCAAGCGGTGACTTGGTCAACGAGATTGAAGGCCTTCGCTTCGAAGTTTGCGTCGGTTGATGCATCCCGACTGCCTGGCTGGGGTCCTAAGGACGTTGTACACGTTTGGTTGGACACACTTGCTGATATGGCGAAGAGCCGGCTCCAATGGCGTTTGTGTTGTGAGTTTCTTTTTCCATCTCTCTCCCTTTTAGATACCCCTTCAATTCGGATTTCATACGAATTACATAATTTCCTACCTAGCATTTTATCACCTGCTTTTGAATTTTTGTAGTGTAATTTTTGTATCTCCCCTTGTTGTCTCGCGCAATCTTAGCTGTGTGTTTCTCACCCTCAACTATCGTGCATTAATGATGATGTTCCTTTTTATTCTGTGCCCGTGCTCACCTTGTGGTGAATAAACACTGAAGGTTTAAATCCCTTTGCCACTCTTCTCCATTCCTCATTATCTTGGGGGATAAATCTCTTGATAACCATTCACCATCCTGCTTTCAGTTATGCGTGCAAAAACTTCGGATACTAATAGAAGACTCTGATCAGAACCGTAAGTGAGGCTGATTTTGCACAGTTCCCATTTCGGTTTATGTTTGACATTATCCTGCAACCGATTAGTTAGATTTTCGCTTTATACATGCCAGGTGGACATCTGCTTGGTTGTTTTCCACTGCATTCGCAGTTTTGCTTTGCATTTCTCGGTCCTCCTTAGATATACACGGTCTGGTCTGTTCAAACGCTTTGACCTCTTATCACGCACGTGGATTCGTTCGACTATGTTGATTTCTCCACTTCTGTTAATGTCCATCTATGTTGCTTTGCGTACGCTCCGAGTCCACTTTAATTGCACTTTCCTTGATAATATTATTCTTCCAGATGCCAATATTGCTGCGGCTATACTGTCGATGTGCACGTTATTACCTCCTATCTGTTCTTTCTTTATCCTCACCTTACCTTATTTAGTGAAGTATCTCGGTTTACTTGCAATGACGAAGATACTTCGTTATCATCCGAAAAGCGTTCATGCTCACAAGGATTTGATTTTTTGCTGCCTGGATGACAAAGACGAGTCGATTCGATTGCGCGCACTCAACCTGCTTCATGGTATGGTCTCCAAAGAAAATCTGACGGAAATAGTAAAGTTTCTAATGAAACGCTTGGACGAGCCGTCTGCTGGTGCCCATTATCGCAATGAACTGGTGACCAAAATCGTCCATATCTGCTCTCAAGACAGTTATCATCACGTGACATCTTTCGAATGGTAAGCTCTGAACTCGTGTTACCATAATGTCATTTACTGCACACAACCAATTCTCCGTTCATCTAATGCGAATCTAGATATCAGCGGCTCATTAGTGTTTTGCCTTTTAAAATTTTTGTTACAATACAGAGACTGCGATGACGTTCCAGGATACGCTGAAGTATGGGACGTCGGATATCACCTCCTGTTACGTCAGCTTTTCATCGATTTGTTGTGCTTTTTGCTTCTTTAACGTCTAGAAATCAATTCCTTCAACGCATTTAAGCATATGGCTCCGCTTCACAAACATTCTAGTGATTAGCAATTGAGTTTACTCTTTTAGGACCAACACCGAATTGTAAAGCATGCTTCCGTTTTGAATGATTCCTTGTTGTCCCATAGATTGTAAGCTGTTATGGTTTACTCACTTGGGTATTACCAATTCGTTTATTGTATCATCTAGAGCACTTGTGTATACTTTGCTTCAGCACCACTACAGATAAGCTGGAAACTGAGCTGACTATGAAATGGATCAATCTCATCTGTTGCCATCTCATTGTATGCAGATCGTTCTGTGGTGTTACAGCAACCCTTGGTACCTTTTGCTATCATCCAACTTTGATTGCACATTGGCTCTGTGCGTACTCTCCCTAATACCAGTGACCAGTGTTGCGTGCGAATTTCATTGGCAACTGCCGTTAATAATGCGCTCGGTGTACAGCCGCCCGCTTCGTTTGAGCATCGAATTCTTTACCATTCCTGGTCGCCCTTCTTACTTGACCAACCTAATGGGGCGAAAACGAGGCGGGGAGTTGGGCGGAGCGTGTATTGCCACAAGAACGTGCCACTGACAACTCACAAACCCGTACAGCTTTGGACCGTGTTTCCTTCCCATGTGGCAACGCGAATGAGGATTTGTGTGACGGGCAATTCCCAGTGCCTACGAAGTTGGGCTTCGAGACAACCCCTCCACCTTTCCATCCCGTATCTCCGCTGCGTTACCTCTGATTCTGGCCGGTCATGAGTCGTTCGAGAGCTCGCGATTTGCTCTCCCTTGGCTGCATCACTCGACCGGCGTTCGCTCCTGTGGGCTTCGCTAGCGGCGTATTTGTCTGATTCATTGCGTTCTCGACGAACACCTCCATTGTTCTGAGCCCAGGCTCGTTACCAGATGCCGCCCGTGATCCGTTGTTGGCTCGATCCGCAACGCTCGCAGAGTCCTGTCTCGTCTCATCCAATGCGGCCGTTGTTAATTCTCTGCAGTTCCGTTTTTGTTATCTTTCCGGTTCACGAGTAGTCACTGGCTTCCGCCGCCCTACACTAAAACAATCCTTTTGTCATCAGTTGTTAACAAATTGGAAGTAATGTCACTGTGTCAAAAGCCTCGATCCTCTTTCAACTCAAATTGTTCTGTTGGAAAGAAATCATTGTCTCACTCATCATTTCATCGTCCTCTCTCATTTCTCTTGCTTCAGGTATATAAGCGTGCTCATTGAGCTTGCTCGAACTGACGGGGTCCGCGAGGGTGAGTTACTGGCCGCTCAACTAATGGATGTGGCGATTAGAGTACCATCGGTGCGCATGTTTTGCGTTTCGCAGCTGGCCCTCTTGCTGGACTGCTGTGCCTCATCATCCAGCCTGAACTCTGCTGCTACGGCTCATCATCCTGTCGTGCACGAAGTGATACACGCTGCCGGTTGGATCTGCGCCGAGTATGCCAAGTAAGGTTCAGTTGGTTGCTTGCATACCGATCCATCCTTCCTGCTGTTACTAACTGTTCATCGCCCAGCACCAGTCCCCACTAAATTCTTGCGCCTTATTGCGATTAGACTAGAATTCCGCTTTACTACGACGGCCTGTGTTACGTTGTAATCCACTGAACAATGTATAGTGGTACTTTCTAATCGTCTTCTAAGACACTGATCTCAGAAACCAACACTTAGAATTAGTACAAACGTTAGCATCAGTATCTTCACCGAAAACTGAGAATAGGTCAACCACTGTTATCGTTCGGAATAGCCATGTGAGACGGTAGGCCGATCAGCATGGAGCAGGAACTCTATGAGACCCCCAACATTAGGGGCGCAGCCATTGCTCACTGCTCCTCTTGACCTAGACTCCGAAAAATGAAGCAATCCCACTAAAAATCATCGTATTCTCAGATTCATCAACTGCTGCTATCGAAACGCATACTTTGTTTATTCTTGACTCACCGGAATCGCATGTGACTCCAATCGGATCTCTCCACAGAGTTACAGTGAAACTCCCGATCCATACTTGTTACTGCCGCATGTTCGCTAAAACCCAAACTTTAATCTACTCAAATTGATGGACACCACGTATACACGCGCGTATGCGCGCACGCCAGTGAAGGCTGTCGAGAATGTCCTCAGTTGTTGATGACACCGGGTTCCGTTCACATGTGTTTTTCCTACCCTAGGGTTAAGTGTCATATAGAGCACACCCTCTCGAACCTTAACTTACCACGGCTAGGACGTCTCATTTGGCGACGGAAATTAACATGCTCTTCGATTATACACTCACTCAGTTTTAGTCATGTTCTGCATAAAACCATCTATGACCAGTTGCAATAAATGACTACCTGGAATCACTTCTCATCTTGAATCTTCTAGTGTCTCTTAACGAGCGACAGAAGATCAAACTGCTTCGATAGTTCCTCGGTGACAAAAGTCAACGACACGTTGACGCCCTCCGTATTGACGATGTTTGTGCAACCGCAGCCAGTGCCTTGGATACATTCATTGTTCTTTGTGGTATTAGACAAAACTACCAGAACCCGGAAGAATATGTAAACTAGCCCAACACTTGTACACACCAGGATACCCCTGTTTGCAGGTACAGGTAACTTACTCCGGCGAAATTCGAAGAAACTGCTACCTCGATCCCTGATAGCTGGCATATCAAACCAGAATACCCGGGGAAAACTTTTCACAGGACGACACTACGCTTAATTGGAACTCAGCTTGTTCAGTTTCTCGTCAAATAGAGAATATGACACAGCAGCTACCCGCTTTCACTCTCAAAGCTTCATCCGAAGCGTATGTTTTGTCAAATTCACGTCCATCGATACCAAACCTTTTGTATGCTACCTATGTGGGGATCAACGCGAATGCTCGTTTGTGTGTCAATATCAGAAAACCGTGTGCGGAATTTGTAAGAAGGTGGGTCATTTAGCGCGAGTGTGCAGATCAGTCAAGCCTCTTCCGGAATTCATTAATGCGCGTGCAGATCATCAACAGCACCACATCAGACATATGCACTGATGCTTCATTGTCGTACAACCACAGTGACCTACGGAACTAAGCATAATAACAGAAAGAGAAGGAGGTTCTGCCGTAAAACCTTGATGTCCTAGACAAACCCACAGGGTCAAGACGCCTACACTTTGTCAACAACATACCATCACAAGCAGCTGTTTATTGTGCAAGGATAAGGCGGCATCCGCAAGACCTCATAATCAGCCACTACCCCGTAGATAACTCCGCACTAAACACACTTAAACAGTCAGTCCGACTAGGAGACGACAGCACACACGGCACTGGTGTTGACTGTAAGCCATGTCTTGTAACGTCTGAAGTCAGGCACAATGTGGGTCACGTCTCGCCTAGATGGCGAGATGGACCAACGACACCAAGTTTGGTCGTCAGTGATCTCATTTACCTCAGCCAATTTAACTTTTGCCCACCTCGAGCGTTGCATCATCCTACATCTGGTAAACAAAACAAGGCCCTCCTCGGTAAGCGGTGGCCATGCAGACGTTGTACCTGCCCAAGCCAATGCAACTTATTCAGTGGTATCTGTGGTTCTCAGATATTGGGCATCATTATCACTGCCTACTACTCACTTACGCACATCATTGTTGCGGTCACGCTGGTGCGATCCGATACCAATAATGCTTCGCTGACAACAGTGATCAAAGACTTAGGTGCCGCAGCTCCTCAGATCGCTGGGGCCAAGTGTCACTCTCATAGAGCAGGACGGTCCTCAGTGTGGATTTGTACACACGACCTTTTAGACTGAAGGATACCCCCTTTCTGACTCGACAGATGTCGCAGATTCGAGAAGGCAGCTCTAGCTTTTGCAATGCGTGAACTGGCTGCGGTCGTTCTACGCCCATCGTTGACGATGCAGCTGCCAAGGTAGGTGAAGTGATCAACTACCTCAAGTTCCTCGCCCTCAAGTGTCGAGGGGTCATCAAGTGGTTGGTGGTTATGTAACAGCACTTTAAAAATGCGAAGTGCGTGCTAAATAATGAGAACACCATAGGATGTTTATTCGGATTTCTTTGCCGCCCCAACACCGTTAAACAGCGGGACGATGTCGTCCGCATAATCAAGATCAACTTTTCACCAGGCGGCACATCAACGCCTGCATCGTGAGACTCCGCAAGGGAACAATCCATGTTGAATTCCACCATGATGTTGAAAAAATGGGGAAATTGGGCAACCCTGATGAACGCCACTTGTTATCGGAAAAATATCCGACGGGTCAGCGTAGATCCTGATGCAGCCTGTCGTGTTCGAGTATAGGGCACGTAAGTTGTTCACATATTTCGTGAGAACACCTTTCCGCGCAAGTATTTCGAACAGGATCGATCGATCGACTGGATCTAACGCACTCATGAAGTCGAGGTACACAGCTATTGTCGGTCTATGGTACGTGTGGCGCTGCTTTAGCACCTGTCGCAGAGTGAATATGTGATCTGTACAGCCTCATCCTGAGCGGAAACCGGCCTGCTCTTCCCTAATCCGAGATTCTCCTTTTGCAGTAAGGCGATGAACGAGAATCGAGGCCAATAATTTTGTCTCAACTGGCATTAGTTAGTACAGTCGGTGCGACTGCCCTTCTTGTACATTGCCACTATAATCGATACATTCCAGTATAGCAGGACGATCCCTTCTTTCCAGGCCTCTACTAACTGGAAGGTCAGTGCTTTGCAGAGAGCCTCACCTCCAACCTTAAATACTGCAGTTGGGAGGGAATCTGAGCCAGATGCCCGAAAACGATTGTGGGCTGTGGTCGCATTTCGGACCTCAGCCTCTGACGGGGTCCCTAAAGTAACTGGCCATGGCTCGTTCTGCATCACCTGAGTAGGTAGAGGTCCAGGAACAGGGGGGCCAGCCGAACTGATCTTGAAAGTGTTCCGCTCTACCAGCCATACGGCGCTGCTTATTGTGTATGAGTGTACCCGCGTGGTCTCTGATCGTCTCACTGACACCTGGTTTCCTATGACCAGTGGTGCGGATCATCCGGAAGAGCTTGCGATAATTGCCTACTGCTCCTGCTCCCTTCATTTCCTGGACCCGACTGATCCACCAGGTTTCCTTGTCAGCACTCTGGCTCCGCTTTAGTTCCCACCTAATAGTCCGTCTGTTCACATTGTGCTCAGAGCCAGCTGGGTGTTTTCTTCTGGATTCCAATATTTCCACCGATCTCTCGGACACCCAGTGACTGGTGCGGTGACGATTAGTTGTACCACAAGCAGATGCTCTTGCGTCGTGCATGGCGCCCGAGATCCTATGCCACTGAAACTGTGTCATTAGAACAAGAGACCGAAGTTTCGGTACACAGTGATCCTGGTAGGCTTGCCTGATAGAGGGCTGAGATAATTTCTCAGTTGCCAGCTGAGGGATGCACTTGGGGCGCCTCTTGTTAAAGTTCGTGGCAGAACGACAGCGTACCAAGGCATACTTAGAATTGACGCAAGTACTCCAGACCGAGTGGCAATCCAGGATGGAACCACACTACATGTAACTTATGTCAATGTGATGAATTTGAGTCCATCGCTGGCCAGCTATAGTAGGACTCCAAGTGACACTTCCGCGCTCAACGTGTCTCAAAGCGGTGCTACTAGGAATTAGATAGTATTGCGCACACAGTTGCAGCATACGCTTGCCATTGCCCCTCTGTTCGGAGTTTCGTCCATAATTGCCACCTAGGTGAGCTTCTGAATATAACCCAGGCGACCTGCTTGTGCACTTATATCCTCTGTAAGTACTATAATATCTGAACTGGTAGCACTGCATAGTAATGTGTTCATTTCGTGATAGAATGTGTCCTTGACAGCATCAGAACTGCATAAGCGGAAACCGCAACTAAGCAGCGTCTTGTGCTACTTCGTAAATGCAAGTTGATTCCACCAAACGGACTACACACAAACGCCTTCTCACGGGAGTCCAACCAAGTAAAGATGACTGCTTTGGCGCTTAGAACGACACCTGCGCCAGCATGGCCAGTGCTTCCCTCATCAGCGTCTCCGGATGCGTGTAACGATAGCAAGAGAACAATCGGGGCGCAGTTATTTCAACAACCCCTTGATCGTCATTGATCCTAGTTTCGGACACACCACATACGTCGATACCCACGGTGTTCAACGTATGTGCAAGTGCAGCCTGTTGACACATTTGTCTTAGAGTGCGTACGTTGAACGTCGTCAGGGAAACTGGACAGCGTAGCCTTGTGAGAGACTTGCCGATGGGCGTGCAGTAGGTGGTGCGGGAAGATAGCCGCAGATGATTCGACTCCAGTGTCATTACGGCTGCTGTCAATTAAGCTGGGAGTTATAGAAGAATGACTAGTAATGGGGGTCATTATTCATCATTATACACGTTAGCTAAAGGTGGAAAACGTCAGCTACTATGCCGCAATGTAAAGGAAAAGAAAAATATAGATGCATACCAGCTGAGCTACCGGTAACGGATGGTCATCGTTCAGGAAACCTACCAACCGGCTACTATGAAGCAAAATAATTTTACTGTTCAAAATTGTATTATGCTAGGAAATGAGATCTTGGTTGTAGGAGTAGACTAAGAGGGATGTGGCGGGTCAAAGAAACTCACAGAACGCACGCCACTGAAGTCGACTCCTAGCCATGTCAGCAAGTGTATCCAGCCAAACGTGTTCATCATCTTTCGGACCCCAACCAGATAGCCACGACGTCAACCGAGGCCAGCTTCGAAGTGAGAGCCTTCATTCGATCAAATCATCGCTTGGCCAGCTCTCCTCTTCTTCCATCCACACCCCCGGCGCGCAAACAACGTACATCGCGGGAGCCGATGGGCTGGCATGCGTAACACGTGGCCGAGCCATCGGAGCCTGTTGCGTAAAACAACGGTGCTGAGTTGGTCGCTTCATCTTATTGTGCCGTAAGCAAGTCGTCGAACACGTTGGTTGCTCACGCAGTGTTCCCACCAAATGTGAGCCAAACTGCGAAGACACCGATGATCGAACGTAACTAGCCTCTTTATGTTCGCTGATCTAAGGGGCCAGGTTTCGCAACCGTACATTAAGATCGAACGTACCGCTTCATTGTACACTCTACCCTTCAGGGATAGACTGACATCGCGCTGGTGCCATAGGTGGAGAAGGCTAGAAAAGCCCCACAAGCTTTTGCTATGCGGTTATTAATTAGTGTTGGGAGAGGACTAAGAGAAACACGTGGAAAATAAAGATGGGACGCGCCAACAGTAGCATGTTTTTGCTTATTCATCCTGCTGTATGCATCAGATAAAGCGACTCTTGATAACGTGCGGGACGGTCGATGAGGGATGTGATTGAAGTTTCAAAGAAATAGTGATGTTTGAACGTGGTCTTAGATATTGCCATGGCACCCAGAAGTAGGCAGAAAAACGATTGGGTCCTCAACCAAAGCCTTTAACTGAAAAGCCTGTCCACATGGCAGCGGGGAGGTGGCAGTGATTTAGTTTTCCAGAAATGGATGCCATACCATTTCAAACCCCCAACCGAAAGGACCAGGAGACTGAGTTTGTCTGACCTCTCATCATTGACCAACCTGGTAGGAGTAGCTCTCAAGGTGCCCGGAGGCATCACCCAGTATAGCTCAGTGGATCGACGAGGTACGCAAACGGTTGCGCCAAGTCTCATCGCGACGGGTCCTCCCACAACGTCCATCACCAGTTTTCTTTCCGGTTACATCTTTCTCCAGCTTTGCACTTCTCTTCTTACTAACTTAAATGGTGCGACACCGCCCACGGCTTTTCATGTGTTAATAGTGCGAACGGATCGTCTATCCAACCTAGGGTCACGATTCATGTTACGGGTCACTTTGCTTCTAATCAGCCAATAGTAACAAGGCCTCTCCTGACATCCTTGTGAAAATCGATGTGTGATTTTCTATTTGAGTCCAGTTATATTTTGAGCAACGATTGCATTATCGGTTCTTATGGAACCACTATACAGGTGCACCCGAAGGTTTTTCGATTGCATATTAAAACTGTACATGAGAATATCCAGCTGTAATGGTCGGCCGTTGGTACTAGCTGGTTGCATCTGATTAGTGTGCCTAGTTGTATCGGATTTGAGTAGCCTGGGTGCGTTAGCTTAGACGAGTTACGACGCAAACTGATCGCAAACCCTAGTTACACACGTATTCGGATGGCACGCTGAGTCCTTGTAAACGGATGACTATGCTCACACAACCTGGAAACTTAGACGCGCGAGGCCTAGACGAACGCGGAACACACGAGTACTTGACTACGCAGTTCCCAACCGCCGAGAAAGGAGACAAGAGAAGACGAAGCGGACCTCTGGGAGCTCTTTTACGACCCACAAAGGCCGGATCACAGTGGGAACAATGCTTCATTTTTGAGTGAATGCATCATCACGTAGGGCTGGTGGTTTATGAAAGAATATTGTCCACTTTAGCCCAGTTGCACTCCGACTCCGAGGGGCTAGATCCTGCTACGTTGTGGGCGGGAATTTAACTCTGTTTCTCACAGCACACGCGGTGGATTTTGTGGCGCATTTTTGCGGGATATTTGACGTGCCCACTACACCTTCCTTTGAAGACAATGTGTACCGTTTCTGACGAGTATTAACCTAGAGAGATTTCGGCGACCTCCGAGTTCTTCCTGTTCGTCGACAAGACGAGTTCTCCAGATGTAGCGGCGACTGTGCGGCTTCGACCATGGTCTCTCGTTATGTAGCCGATCCAAAGGTATACAACAGGATGTGCAGCGACAGGCACACAGGAAGGCTGACTTGCTTGGGGGGTTCTCCGTGGCGCGGTCGAAGTTGATTGTGATGACGAACCCACGTGTCATCACCCACGGAGACATCATGATGCATTTCACCTCGCCTGGCCGTCACTGTTGCTTTGATCCCGCGTGGATGACCTGCTCGGTCGTCGCGAGCGTATACTGAGTCTCCAACGACGAATTCATTGTTCTTTGTGCAGGCAGTAGATTGAATTGGTGGCTTTTCGGTCGGAATGAGCGCTTCGTTAGTGATGCGTAGCTTGCGGTCCATCATTGTTTCAGCCGGAGACTAGCATTCTGGAGTAGCTAGGTTTGGTGTGGACCGATAAGAAAGCAAGATTGCTTGAAGGCATTCACCCACGGTCCCCTCCCCACTGCCTTGTGGGTCAGGCTATTGACCCAAGCGCTCAGGGTGAAGTCTCTCAAGCGAACCTCCGTGTACCCCACTGCTCTGTGGATCAAACTGTTGAGTCAAAGGCTAGAGGTATCGAGCCGTAAACAAAACCCTTCTCTCGGAATCGGCAGCCAGAGAGTATCATCTGCCACTGACCACGTCGACAATACTCCCCTTGGTTTTCTCTCCCTTCTGAACTCTCTTCTTCCCATTCTATTAAACAAGAGACTTCCGCTATACTCGCGGCTGTTACCATCGATACATGTAGCTTTTCCATTAAACGGTGTGTTTCCCACCCTCAGCTAACGTGTATTGGTGATGGTGATGCTGGCTCCACAGTCTACTGTGTGCCCGTCCTATCTAACCATCCGGAGTCGCTCGCACGCTCTTCGCCACTTCAAGAAGTGTCTTTCGGCCCGGCCGACTTGATCTTTACTGCAATTGCGCATGAGGTAGACCAGAAACGTACTTTGTACCCACCAGTTTAGAATAAAAAAGTTTTAACGTTCGATTTCACTCAACTCATGTGCAAGCATGCGAATTCCATAACTTTCTGTTCCAGATATGATTACGTTGTTTACGAAGCTCATAGTCTTTTCAAGTAACCACTGGTACTTTGCCACACGAAGTATAGTATTCGTTTGACATATCGCTACCCAGTGGCTTGCCACACTTTTCGCTTCAGCTGAGCAACATTGCGTTTCACCTTGCAGTACACCAATTGGCTTCCAAGCGCCGCGGCAACCGCTCACTTTGCCCTTCAGATTCGACGCAGTGTTACTATGTGCATACATTCTATCATTACATCGGTCAAGGTAGTCTTCCTCGTTTATCCACTCGTGGCACAGACAAACCGTATTCTACTCACCGCTCCTCCACGCCTAGACACCATACTCTACTATCACACTTAATGTGCAATAGATGCATTCAGGGATCACCTCATTCCGAGCATCTGTGAGCGGGTGCTTGCAACTAACAGCAATCACTCTTCCTTGCCCTTCTTGTGACTCTTGTTTTCGTTGCGGTGTGTACAGATGTGGTCACTTCATGAAACCTATCGATATCTTGCCTCCGTCTTTGTTTGTGCTTATCTCAGACACAATGCAATGCGGTTCACATAAACGGGTGAGATCAGTTTACTTCCATAGGGCATCAGCTCGAGCGGTTATGAAGTATTGAGGCTAATATCTTCCTTCATTAGTAGAATTTGCATTCCGTCGAAAGTGAAAACAGCGCGGTGGACAAACATCGTAAATCCCACTTGTTAAGGAGGGTTTGATCCGTCATCCTACTGCGCTCGTTCACTTGCACGCAGTAGCTAGAGCATTCTGAGTTGGCGTGTTATCTTGATTGACACATTATATGACACTATCGGTGATATAGTAAGCATCCTCATCCCTGTTCATCGTCCCACAGCGGAACGTGAATCTACCGCAGGGATATTAGATATTAGTTATAGATATAGTTTCCCACCATGTCCATTGTAGGTGACGGCACATCATCTCATCACTGGCATACTTCTCATGCCTCTTCCTTCGTCTGCTGTTGAGTACATGTGTTGCTTTCTACGCATACATGTGATTCTATTATCTACTGCGTCGTCCATCATTTTAACTTTATATCTCCTCTTCGGATCAGCCTTGCCTAGCCATTGGCTTTGCCATCAACATACCGCACTTTCACTTTGTGTGCATGTGAATAAATGTCGTAATGTTACTGGTTGTATCATTTTCACGCACTGTTATCTTTTGGCTTCCGGGAGTTAATACGAAACTAAGAGCTGGCTTTTGTCCTAACTAACTGCGACCGAATAGAACCTATCGTGCTTGTTGTCTGAATGTCAAAGAGTCTAAGTGTTCGCAACTGTGTCTCATAACACAAGGTCGACTATTCCCGAAAGTTGGGCGGAATCTTCACTGCACTAACGCTACTGGCGAATATTCGCACGATTAGTCCCCCGAATCTCAAATAGATGGCATTCTGATTTGGTCATTGAACTTCCGTTTTCGTTCTGTACGGTGGTATCCTACAGGTACCTCACCGATCCGGAAAAAACCCTTGGATCTATGTTGTGCAGCGCCAACATTCCAGGGATCCCGAGCAATTCGCAATCCGTACTACTCCTGAACTCTTTCAAGCTGTATTGCATTCTAGTCGCTACATGGATCAGCTACGATTGCAGTTCCTCTAGCGAAGACGTTGAATTGGCCTCCTTGGTTCATCGAGTGTTGAAAATAACAGCATTCCTTCTGGATAAGTTTACTCGATTTGTTCATTCGCCAGATTTAGAGGTTCAAGAACGCGTAAGTATTTTTTAGAATCCCATTCTTTCATATAAATCTACCGGGTGTTTATTGCGATGTGCAACTTCTCATTCAATCAGCTAACGTCGTTAACGCTTGTCTCGAAGTTGCCGTTGTGTGTGTTTTGGGCTACATGCATCATCCTGGCTTCGCACATGAAGCATTTATTCTTATAATTAATGAAATTTCGTTCACTTTTATTTCATGAAATGCTTTAACCACCGAAGGACAGTGGCATATTTCATTTTTGTTGTGATCACGGTCAATAATTGTTAAAAGAGAATCATAATGCTTAAGATACCTGAAAAGTAAAACTCAAAGTAGACTCTGAAATCATCGAACGGTGAGATTGACGCCAATGCAGCCGCACCTTAACTTGGACTGTCAAACCAAGCTGGAATGATAGCTTTGCTACTATTGTGACAGATCCAGTGGCCTCTATCCGCCTAGCTGACACACTTCCACCTTGTCCCGCCCTCCATGCCTCGTTCTCACTCCGTTCTCTAGTTGTTATGGTTATACACCCAAGTATACTTGATATCGGTAGACAACAAAACATTTTATTATGTGCTTGTGTGCGAAGAACGATGATTTAGCCAGCGTGAGTGGTACAACTTTTTCGACAAGTCCATCACGGAGCCCCTGTTATCAAAATAATCAACTAGTTGGCCTCGAAACTACTCACTCGACCTTTCTAGCATATACATTCAGCGGTTAGCAAAACTATCGACGTTTAAACTAAGGTTTCTTAGGGTCTTCAGCACGCACCGGTCGTCTTTAGTTTATGGTCCCACTGCAGTCTTTTGTGTTAGCCGGGAAACTACTTTTTCGTCTTGTGCAGCGAAGATTTGGGTTTGCTGATTACCCACTGGCTATAATGACCCATTTCGTGTTCTGTCTAATGATTTGGACAGTATGGTGATCCGATCGGTCGGTTTTCGTGAGAATTGACGAGGTGTCACACTAGTCCTGCAGAAATAACGTGCCCTTTGTAAGTGTACAACACTTACGGATATTTGCAACCCCATACGTCAGCCCAGTGGATGTTCACTCACTTTATTCCGTCGCATTTTCCACGTGTGTTGTAGAGGCCTAGAACTGCCCGGTTGTCCAAGCCGAGGAAGATTATTGACTTAGGTAACCGCACTCGGAGCATTAGGTCGTAATGACCTTACCCGCAAGACAGTCGGGCGATTACTGTGTGTGGCAAACTGTCGGGAGCCTTTGGTCACATTCTGAAGAACACGGCTTTCGAGAAGTAACAAACAACTCAGGGTACCGAAAGCCTGAGTATGGCGCAAATAGGCACGGAAACGTTTTTTGGAACATCGAATTCGTCGCCAGATGTGAAGATCGTTAAAAGCCAAGTGATTCAAACGCCTTCATCATGTTCAAGTGGAAGTCCACACAGTGGCCGGTAACCATCGAGGTTGTTCATGCGCACTCCGTTAGATGCTCACTTCTGATTACAGCGGTCACCACAAAGTCGCGTCTAGAACGCTAGTCCATGGTAGGGCTAGAACCACTGTGAGTCAATTATGTCATGATCTCGTCACTACAAACCTCAGCGAGTCATTGACTCTCCGGCCTTGAATATATATATATATATATATATATATATATATATATGGTTGGCGGCATCCGCTTTCGAATTTGCCTGTCACTGTGGACAGCCACAGGATGCCTGCGCCTACAGGGGAACCATAGATCGCTTGCGTTGCACCACCCACAGCTCCATTCACACTCCCATATCCAGTGTAAACCCGAAGGAATAAAACCGGGAGGCATGTGGATGGGAGCCACGTTTCATCAACGGAGCCGGCCCACACTCCTTTACAGCAAACACAAGCACACTGTAGTTGGGGAATCAAGCGCCCACAAGGCGGTGGCCGGACCGTAATCCGCTCCACACTGACTGCATGGAACCGCTCTTCGAGCCTAGCAAAGCCACAAGAATCATGCACCCCGTCCCCTCCAGCAACGATCAACTGTCTCCTGGAGCCAGTATGGACGAGGCAGTGGCTAATAGACAGGTAGGCACCTTGTCAAAATGCGCATCAATGCTTGTTTATCTTAACGTGCTCTTGTGGTGCACGATACGTGGGTCGTACCACGAGGCGCGAACACATCCCGAAGTGGTTTTACAAAGACGAAGCGAGGTCCAATGACGGTTCCATCTTGTCTCATCTTCTAGAGTGCAGTCACGCAGGGACGGAAAATGATTTTAGAGTCATCTATACTGTTTCTGAACGTTTCACGCGCGGATTCCGGAAGCATCTTCTGTCTATTGCGGAAGCTATCTACGTCGGCCACCTCAAGCAGAATTTTGCGTACAAAAGCACTTTGTACGTCCTTTACTTCTACCGGGGCCTACAACTTCGGCTGTGATTTCCCCTGTACATACTTTGCACTTTCAATGATCCCGTGATTTATTGATTTATACCCGTGAAAGTAAACATTCTGTTCAGTACGCAGCCCAATCCGGCACAGTTAGCACTTTCTCCTCTCCATGTAATGTATGAGTCCGATGAGAATTACCGAAAAGAATTCGTTATTCAGATTCTGCCTCCCTTGATTCGTTCTAACATCAAGCGCAGCCACACCGGAGATATCAGGCAACAGCCATTCACCTGAAACGGCAAGATGAAATAAAACAAATCATCTATGCATACAGATACGGTGGCATAACTTCGCTAAATTAGCATATGAAGTAAATTGGTTAGCAATGAATCGGCGATAATTACAAAATGTGCAGAAGTTTCTTAAAACTGCTACAAACGCGACAAAGTTAACGAAGATAACCGCAATTAGCGTAAGCAACGTGTGCAATTTAATAGATTATTTAGGTTACCACCCGCTTATCCCGCTTAAAAGGACTTAGTTTAAGTGTAAGTTGGTTTAGCCCAACTGCGGTAGGGAAGCATCATGAATGCAACATCAGCTTAAGTATGGGGTATATATATATATATATATATATATATATATATATATATATATATATATATATATACCGTTGTATGAGCCTTTGCTCTGTTCCGTCTGTTGTCTAACTTCCCTTTTGCAATTGCCATTTGTCTTCCTGTTTTTCGTTGGCGTCACTTGTTCTTTTAGTCAGCGTTTTTCGCTATTAGCGTTGTTGCACGCAAGTACACTCTCGTTTCAGGCCGTGTCGTTGCACCAACTGTTGTCTCTAGTGTTGAAGCGATTTGAAGGTGCTCTTGCCAAAGTCACATACTCATCATCTGGTCCCTTGGATATCGACAAAGCGCCATCGCCAAGCCGCGACACACTGGCTCACTTTGTCGACTTTGAAGTATCCAGGACTAACAGTGTCGAATCGTCAACATATTCCTCCATTTGTAAGTTGGGGGCCGAATTAGCATCTTTGTTTCACGGTGAAATCAATCCCGTTGCCCCAAATGCCCAGCACAAGGTACCCGTTCCCGACGGTTTGGACTTGAATGGCTGGATCAACCCTCCGCCCGCCCCTAGGTGGATTGACAGGCCGTCCAACTTGGCTCCTAACTCGGTTAGTTGCCTATTGCCTTCATGAATGCCACGAAATCACGCCATACTTATCGATCTTTCAATTAATCCTTCAGTTCCACACAGCACGAAATCAACATTATACCATTATACACGTTAGCTAAACGTGAAAACACCTCAGCTGTTGTACCGAAAATAGAAGAGATCGTAGATACCGATTGGGGTATACCATTCTTACTTGTAACTGGACGTTACTCAAATCACCAACTGGTACCTTTTTAGATGCAAATATGTCACAATTTCAAAGTTAGACTTGAAGACCCCGCTGTGTAGTGGGGCTGAGACTCGCAACCTCTATTGAGACCCCGGTTCACTTGAGGTGGACCTCGGTAATCCCGATCGCGAGGACCCATATCTGAAATGGAATTATTTGAGTGTTGCTCCTCCCAACACTGACACCCCAGTGCCGCTTCCGCTTAATGTATCACGTGAAATGTCACACTATCGACCGTCATTTGTATAACATTGTACAGTTTGGTGGTGGTCTGGTGGAGCGCCACGGTGTCTGAACCAGATAGATTAGGCCGTTCATTGCACTCACTGCCACCAATAGTTTACCTTGTATAGGCTTCTTCGTAGTTGTAGTGTCACCCTCTTTACAAATCGCGACTCATGAAATGTTTACTGCAGGTTCCATCTCTAATGTTCTTTCTGTCCGTTTCTGCTCCCTTCGCCTCACTTGTGGTTGTAGCAAACTCTTATCTTCAACCAAGTTAACAATGTCATAACTGTCGATCCATTAATTCAAAAGTGGTTTATTGCCACACCCAAACTTCCTTGGGATTCACTACATCTAGCCCAATTATCCATTGTTTTATGTGTATAAATAAATAAATTGTTTATTCCCGGAGTACACAAGACACGCATAAACAGGCATAGTGGGTGTCTTCGATTTACTAACTTTTTCACCGGTACGTGACTTGACCCATGATCGAATAGCGGGAGATGATACAGTATTTCAATCTTGTTGTACTCCTCTTTCGGTTTCCTCTCGATTGACGCACTGGACGCGATACAATTGCATCTTCCAGTTTTTGGCTTCTTAGCTTCAGTAGTACTTTGGACGGTGTCCACATTGCGTCCATTCTTGGGGCATATCATATGATGATAAGCCTTTTTGTGGTATAGCTGTCTGGAGGCGGACCGTGCGAGTATTCCGTCGATTGAAAATGGATTTACTTCAACACTTTAAGAGTCGGTCGGTAAGGGGACAGAATTCGCCCAACCGAGGCACCTTCTGAGAAGACTAGGCATTAGCTAGTTGTGCAGCACTTGAGGCATCATCCTGATACCGGAGGCAATCGCTATCATCTAGTTACTCATTGCTCACACAATCATCACATGTGTGGACCCGTCGTCTGTCCGTCTGGACTATCCAATTCGTCAACCTCATGGTAAGGTGGAGACAACTTACTGGTCATGCGTAGGCGCATTTGAGAAGACCTAATTGATCGGCAGATACATTGGATAACAAGCTTGTACAAAAGTCATGTTAGTGAAACAAACTTAGTCAATTGTCGTCTACGTTTGTGTACTGAACACAAATATGATAGTAAAAATGCGCAATGTTTGTAATCCGAAATAGTTGTTTGCATCAGCAAACGAATGGAAATAGTTTTCATGGACAAAATGAACTCATAGGCTACTTCGTAGATTTTGTAGCCTGTTTCCTGTACAGTTGTTCATGAGCATCTCTGACGAGTGTCTAGTACTAGTCAGTCAGCATGATAGAGCACCATTTGCCCAAGTGGTTTTGTTCTGTTGTTGAGATAACTTCATGAAAACGTTCTTGTTCTCCTCACTAACCATACCGCAGTTATCAGGGAAGAAATCCAGATTGGAATGAAGAAAGTGGATCGTAGAGGCATATTGCTGCCCAGTTTCTGATACTACTTCACCCTGTATTCCACTAGTTCCTTCTAGTTTCGTGCCCTAATATTACGATTTGAAAGCTTATATGAGCATACGAAAAGGTTACTCGCTAAATCGAACACGGATTTTGAACGTTTCAAGTGCTATTTGGTGAACTGTTGCTACCGGTATCGCAAACACCACATCCGTAATTATGGCACCCCATGAAGAAGGCAGCTAAATGCGCTGAAGGAACTAAAGCCCAATAAGGAAATCGTCGTGTGCAGACCGGACAAAGGTGCCGGAATCGTGTTACTTCATAGGAAGATTACATCGATAAACTAACAGCAATACTGAGTGATGAGACAAAGTTCGCCTGCATTGAAGGAGAAACGGACCGGACTGAACAAGTTGGAACACAGATAACTAAGAGTTTGCAAGAACTCCGGGCCAGGGGTACATTTCAGATGCTCTGTGTAACATCCTTAAACCGAGTGGCACAAGCGTCCCCAGACTTTAGGGGTTACTAAAAATTCACAAAGCCAATATCACACTTCGTCCTGTTTTATCAATAGTCAACTCATCGTACCATGCCGTCGCTCAGTGACGTTTAGAACTTCTTGAACCTGTGCGACAACAGCTCGCTACCTACAGCCTTCATGGCAGCTTCCATTTCGTCGAAAGCATCAAGGATGATAAAATCGGTGAGAAAGTAATGCTTTCTTTCGATGTCGTCTTTCATTTTACCAATGTCCCACTGGTTGAGACAATTGATTATGTGTGCGACTATATAGCCGAGTCAAGAATAAATGTGTGTATATCTACGCGTGAATTCAAAGCCTAGTACGCTGCACTTGAAGTGTTCAGTTTCTATTCAATGGGAAATACTACCGGCAGAAGGAGCACGTGGCCATGGCATCTCCTCGGACCGCAGCTAGCGGAAATCTTCATGGCAAAGCTGTAGAGAACCGAAATGCGGCGGCAATAGACTTGTTTGACCGCTGTGATTGATACATGGACGATATATTTATTGTGGTGGATAAACATGTTAATCTGGATGAAATTCTTGACCACTTTAACTGGGTGGATGCAGCATTGCAATTTACTTACGAGAAGGAAAGCGATAATCGGCTACCATACCTCGATGTCTTGTTAACTAGGAGATTGGACGGATCCATCCACCATCAGGTCTGCAGAAAGACAATGTGGATAGATCAGTACAGGAACTTTCAGTTTCGTTCATATGCGTTACAAGTGTAACTTGGTTTACTGTCTTACCTCAAAAGCACGTCGGATCTGTACAGAAGACACCATAGACGCGGAGTTGATGTTCATACAGAATACTATACGTGAAAACGGTTATCCCGATAGGTTTATTTTAAAGAACTTCAAAAAAGCAGACTAATGCCAGCGTTAACAGCAGCAAAGAAAAAGCTATTTATTCGTTTACCGTTCAAAGGGGGCGCGGCTACCGAGCGTCTAGGCAGAAGCCTTTGGGCCGCGGTAAAGCCAACCTTTCCGGCAGCTTCATTGAATTGTGCTTTCCTCGGAACCACTCATTCGTTCACAAAACAAAAACAAGGAGCCGATACTGACCACCTCAGTGGCAATTAATCGATTCGAGCGCGTCTGGCGCAACGTATATTGATCGAACGGCGCGGCAGTTATCCAAACGCGTAAACGAACATTGCCCTCGTTGGCTGCGTGAAGGGACGCCGGGACCATTAGTAGCGCCATTCTGGCCCATGAAGTGGACTGCAAATGTGTCCTCCGATTAGTTTACAAAATTCCGCCGCACCGATCGAAAAGTTACCGCTTTCGTATACTTGTTACAGCTGAAGCAATATGCATTCGATTATTCCAGCCGTCCTTATCCTCACAGAAGAAGCTGGTCTAGACTCCCCAGCTTTCCTGGCCAGCAAAGACGGAATACGCCCAGGTCGACTGCCTTCGGTCCGATGCGATAGCAAACAACTAGCCCACTATGACCTATTTCGTTTTTTTATCTCTGTCATGAACTTTCAAGTGATCTATTCGTTTTGATTTTTATTTTTAGCCCCCTTATGATTATGATGGTCTGATGATGAATCGTCGAAAGCAATTGTTCTCGAGATTTAAATGGGAATTTTCAAGTTATTCGCGACAAAGTTATTCGACATTGGGCGAACAGCATTTAAGCTTGTTTCACATCATTCTGCAACAACTTGTTGAAGCGGTTATCTTTAAATTGCTGTCGAATCTGAGAACCCACAAAACCCCCTCTTTAATCTTTCCTTCGCTGAATAGATGGTATTTTTTAATCAGATATCGGAACGCTATCTTTCACGATGCTCTTCATCAAACCTAGTTAGATTTATAAGTGTAGTAGCAGGATTTTGCGACTCTTGATCAGAGTTGGGTTATGGTTATTCTTCTGGTTGTGGGCCCATCCAAAATCCCCGCAAAAACGCGCCAGAAACCCCGGCAGAATGGCTGTGGAAAGCGGGGTCCAATTCCTCCCACGACGTAGCACTTTTCAGCCACTCCTAGACGCGGCCCAATTACGCACCTTTTGACAATGGCCTTTTACAAACTACCACCTCGTCGTGTTAGAAATTTTCCCTTACTTAATGACCCATAGCATTCGCTGTGCTTCGCCCTTTGTTGGTCGTAAAAGTGCCTACAAAGGACCGCCTGTCTTTCTTTCCTCTTCGCCTTACTTGGGAGTCGGTCGGGCCACGTGATTTCGTGTGGGTCGTTAGCTGGCCAGCCTTCGCGTCTGCGTCATTAACGCGCGTCTATCATAACCCCCTCTCGTGTGCGTCCGTTCCGAGGGCTCAGCCTCTATCCGAACACGTGCGGCTAGCATCGTTCACACGCTCGCTCAATTTTCCGTCTCACCGGCTAAACTAGCGTCATCAGGTCAGCGCAACTCCGTTCGTTTGGCCAGCGATACAACTCTTCATAGTAGGCGTGCTCCAACCGTGCCAGCGACAATCTTATCAGGCAATGACGCAATCATATCAAGAGGCGTCCCCTCAATTATAACAGTGGAGACAGAGTTGACAAACCATGACTGACGAATACACCGATTTAAAACTGATGCTGCAGTCGCAGCTTAAATTGATGTCCGTGCTAACCGAAAAACTCCAG